CCCTGATGCTGGGAAAGATTGAGGGCAGGAGAAGGGGATGACAGAAGATGAGATGGCTGGATGGTATCACCAACTCAATGGACATGCTTTTGGGTGAACTCCGGGAGTTGGTGATGGACAGGGAGGCGTGGCATGCTGCGGTTTCTGGAGTCGCAAAGAGTCAACATGACTAAGCGACTGAACTGAACTGATTGTACATTATGTCCCTAGTATACTTATGTATCTCATAACTGAAAGTTTGTATCTTTTGACTGCCCTCTTCCAGTTCCCCCTCCTGTCACCCATTTCCTGCCTCTGGTAACCACAAATCTGATTTCTTTTCCTGATTTTGTTTGTTTATGAATATAATCAACCTCCAAATCTCTGTTAGTTCCTGTTACACAACATAGTGATTTGATATTTCTATACATTTCAAAGTGATCACCACAGTAAGTCTAGTTACCATGTCTCACCAAAGATATTACATAATTATTGACTACATTCCTCACACTATATGTTTCATACTCATGACTCATTTATTTTGCAGTTGGTAGTTTGTGTCTCTTAATCTCCCTCACCTATTTCTTTCTCGCTACCCACTCTGGCAACCACCTGTTTGTTCTCTATAACCATTTCTGTTTTGTTGTGCATTTTGGTTTCCATATATTAGTCAAATCATATGGTATTTTGCCTTTCTCTGTCTGATGTAGTTCAGTTAGCATTATACCTGCCAGGTCCATCCATGTTGTTGCAAAAGGCAAGATTTCCATTTTTTTTATGGCTGAGTAATATTCCGTGTATATATACACTATATCTTCTTCATTGGTTCATCTACTGATGGGCACTTGGCCTGCTTCCATATTGTGGCTATTGTAAATATTGCTGCAGTGAACATAGGGGTGCACATATCTTTTTAATTGGTGTTTTTCTCTTCAGATATATACCCAGAAATGGAATTTTTGGATCATATAGTAGTTCCATGTTAAATTTTTTTTAGAATTGTTTCTTTCTCCATGGCTGAGCTGTGTCTTCATTACTGTGCACAGACTTTCTCTAGTTGCAGTGAGTGGGGGCTACTGTTTGCTGTGGTTCAAGGGCTTCTTGTTTTGCTGGTATCTCTGGTTGTGGAGCACAGGCCCATGGCCTGTGGGCTTCAGTAGGTGCAGCACATGGGCTTTAAAGTGTGGGGTCAGTGATTGTGGCGTTCAGGCTTGGTTGTCCCATGGTATGTGGTGTCTTCCTGCACTAGGGGTCAAACTGTACCCCCTGCATTGGCAGGCAGATCCTTAACTACCGAACCAACAGGGAAGTCCACTATTTCCAATTTTTGGAGGAATTTCCATACCATTTTCCATAGTGGCTTCACCAATTTATATTCCCATCAACAGTGCATGAAGGTTTTCTTTTCTCCATATTACTGTTTCTTCTTTTCAGTTTATCTGGCTTTTTGGAAATAATATTTTTATTTATTTATTAATTTTTTTTTTACACTTTTTTTTTCATTTATTTTTATTAGTTGGAGGCTAATTACTTTACATCATTGCATTGGGTTTTGTCATACATTGAAATGAATTAGCCATGGATTTACATGTATTCCCCATCCCGGTCCCCCCTCCCACCTCCCTCTCCACCCGGTCCCTCTGGGTCTTCCCAGTGCACCAGGCCCGAGCACTTGTCTCATGCACCCAACCTGGGCTGGTGATCTGTTTCACCCTAGATAATATACGTGTTTCGATGCTGTTCTCTTGAAACATCCCACCCTCGCCTTCTCCCAGAGTCCACAAGTCTGTTCTATACATCGGAGTCTCTTTTTCTGTTTTGCATATAGGGTTATCGTTACCATCTTTCTAAATTCCATATATATGTGTTAGTATACTGTAATGGTCTTTATCTTTCTGGCTTACTTCGCTCTGTATAATGGGCTCCAGTTTCATCCATCTCATTAGAACTGATTCAAATGAATTCTTTTTAATGGCTGAGTAATATTCCATGGTGTATATGTACCACAGCTTCCTCATCCATTCGTCTGCTGATGGGCATCTAGGTTGCTTCCATGTCCTGGCTATTATAAACAGTGCTGCGATGAACATTGGGGTGCACGTGTCTCTTTCAGATCTGGTTTCCTCGGTGTGTATGCCCAGAAGTTGGAAATAATATTTTTAAAAAATATTTTGTTCTTTGACAATCCAAGTCTGTCTTTCTCTTTTATTCCTCCATCTGTTTTTTGTTTACTTTTGCTCACACTTTATTTTCCACATAAAGAAAGTAGCTATTAAACAGTTCTAAAACTTTTAGTGTTCTGGAGTAAAAAAAAATGTGTCAGAAGACTACTTTCCACATTCTCCCAAATTGCATATTTCTGAAGTATCAGTACAAGCAAATCTGACCCCTAGTATATTCCTCCTGCTCTCCAGTCAGCTGACTTTGTCACAGCAAGGAGCCTGTGAGCCTTGAAGATGCAAATCTATACTGAGGTAGTACTTTAGTGGTTATTAGGCAAACCTGGCTGAGGATTGCTAAAGAAGAGAGAAACACATCCACCACCCTGTCTCCTTGTTTGTCTTGGGTGGCTCATTGCCCCCTGCTGGTTAAATCAATAATGTTTACTCCCTCGCACATCTCAAAGCACTGCAGTCTGAGTGCAAGGCATTGGAACCACATATGAAAATCCAGTGCAACCATATGCCTTTAAATTCAAGCAGATACAACAAAGATTTCTGCTCCAAAGCTAGAAAGATCCTGCTCAGCTTCCATATGTGAAGTTTACATTGCTACCAAAGAACTCCCAACCCCTCTATACCACTTTGCTGTTGAAGTTCTTCCCATCTAACTCTTCTTCTTTCTATATCCTCTGTTTACCTTTGTGAGATCTTCTGGTACCCTGATGTTCACAGGCTCATGACCAGAGCTTCTCTGGGTTTTCTTGTGATCATCCAGTTCTATAGATAACAGAATTTTCCACTAGACCCTGGAATTCCATATTCCTTTCCTTTTGATTTCTTGAAGTATCTCACTTAAGGATTTGTCTTTGACACCTGAAAAGCCAGGCCTCATATAGATCCTGAAGTGGGGTCCTTATTCGAGCATCAGCACATACTGTGACCTGCAGAGACAAGCTGTGGTGTGTCCCTAGAGGTCTGTAGATGCTGAGTGATGAGTGAGCCTTGTCTTTTTCTAGTTCACTTCCATTTGATGGGAGAGTTTCTTTTTAAATAAAAGCGTTCAGGTCACATTGGTATCTTAACTAGTTTTCTACAAGTTAGTATATAACTTACAGAGTTTGGGCTCTAGTCAGTTGTAAACAGATGATCCTTAGGTGGGTTTTTGACAGTGCTCTAATACAACACTGACAGGACAGTCATTCAGCTCTTTGCCTTATTTCCAGGTGTTGGTTATCAACACTGAATATACCATTCTGTACTCACATGTGGAAACAATGGATGACTGTATTTTTCTGGGCCCCCAAATCACCGCAGATGGTGATTGCAGCCATGAAATTAAAAGACGCTTGCTCCTTGGAAGAAAAGTTATGACCAACCTAGAAAACATATTAAAGCACAGAGACATTACTTTGCCAACAAAGGTCCGCCTAGTCAAGGCTATGTATGGATGGTCATGTATGGATGTGAGAGTTGGACTATAAAGAAAACTGAGCGCAGAAGAATTGATGCTTTTGAACTGTGGTGTTGGAGAAGACTCTTGAGAGTCCCTTGGACTGCAAGGAGATCCAACCAGTCCATCCTGAAGGAGATCAGTCCTGGGTGTTCATTGGAAGGACTGATGTTGAAGCTGAAACTCCAATACTTTGGCTACCTGATGTGAAGAGCTGACTCATTGGAAAAGACCCTGATGCTGGGAAAGATTGAGGGCAGGAGGAGAAGGGGACGACAGAGGATGAGATGGTTGGATGGCATCACCGACTCAATGGACATGGGTTTGGGTGGACTCCGGGAGTTGGTGATGGACAGGGAGGCCTGGTGTGCTGTGGTTCATGGGGTCGCAAAGAATCGGACACAACTTAGCGACTGAACTGAACTGAACTGAAGTTTTAAAAATTGGTTTTTATGTGATCTGTTTTTTACTTGAATATATTTTATTATTTTGGTTTCGCTGGTGTCTCAGACAGTAAATAATCCATGTGAGCAAGGAGAGAGGTGTGAGAGAGGAGACGGAGAGGGGATTTTGGTCCTAATGGAGTAGTGTGGGCGGGGCTGGTATGGTGAGATAAGGGTGAGAGGAAGAACTGTAGTCACACTGCAATAGATCATAATAGGTGTATGATAAATATTTTTATAAACTAAATTGGGTTGCATTGGTTTTGGTAATACAGTTCTGGATTTGGTTATGATGTGAGTGATGGAAAGGAAGAGAGAGCTCTTTTCAATAGGGTCACCTGGAAAGGCTGCTCTGAGAAGATGTTTGAGCCAAGACTTGAAAAATGGGAAGGAGTGAACCATGTGAAGTTCTGGTGGAAGAACATTAAGGAAGAAGGAACAGCAAGGGTAAACACCCCAAGGCAGAAATGAATTTGTCAAGTTAGAGATAGCAAGAAAGCCCCTGTGGCTGGAGCAGAGTGAGTGGGTAAGCCTGAGCCATGTAAGGAGATAAGCTAAAGGAAGAGTCAGCCAGACAGTTTAGGGCCTTGCGGACTGAGGTGAGGGATTTAAGTTTTATTCTAAGGTGAAGGAAATTGCTTTGAGTAAGTGCCTTGTGCTAAAGTTCCTAGAAGTACAATTGTTCTTTCCTAAAGAGCACTTTTAAGCTGTCTTTGGAACATTTCCCCCAGTGGGACTGCGTCTTTAACATTACAATTAAATCAATGGGGATATGTTTTTTAATATATATAATTATATATAATCTCTATGTATATATGTCTTTCTGTGTCTATCTATCTATATATATATATCTATCCATCTATCTGGAGAGAAAGAATAAATTAAAATAAGTTATGCCTTAGACTGTTTTGATTTTCAATAGATGTGATACATCTGTATTTCCATTCTACTTATTCTTATTTTCAGAATTAAGAAAATTTCAAATCTGGAGAATCTAAAGAGCTTAGATGTCTTGGACCTTCATGGAAATCAGGTATTGTTAAGCCCTTTGTAACTTACTTTTTTGAAAAAGCTCTAGGAAATTTGGCATCGAACTTTTAATAATTATACCTGTGTTGAATTTTTCCAGTTACTTTACTGATTCAATGAAATTAGCTGTGGTATTAAGGTAGTAAGTCTACTTACATAAATTTCTCAACAGCAAATGACAGATAAGACATAAAACATTTAGAATTCTTATAGTTATGCCTATTTTGTTTCTTATTTAGTCTTTTATTAACTTAATAGCCAACCCCAAACCAAGAACTAGAATATTACTATTGATTTTCTTCTACCTAAGTGTTCCTTCTTTATTCCAAGTTACCACTACTCTGGATTTCACGTTTATCTTTCCTTTGTGGGTATTTTTACTTGGTTTTATCACATATACATATGTCTAAATAATATATTGTTTAGTAGTATTGTCTTTTAACTTTAAAAAGGTGTCACACTATATATTGTCATATAATGTTTGCTTTTTGATACAGCATTATGTTACTGAGATTTATCTATTTTGATTATGTAGTTGTAGTTTATGTTTATTGTTATATGTTCCATGGTTTGATTATACAAAAACATTTTTCTCCATTTTATTATTGATAGACATTTGGGTTGATTCCTTTTTGTTTGCTTGTCTTTTTGTTTTGTTTCCTACTCGGATAGCACTTCTAAGAACATTCTTATACATGTTTCTCCCATACATTATATTATTCTAGGGTATATTCCTAGGAGTGGAACTGATGGGTCGTAGGTTATTTAAATGTCTAACTTTAAAAGATAATGCCAAATTGTTTTCCAAGGTGATTGTACCAGTTTATACTCCCACCGGTAACACAATAGATCCTGTTGCTTCATATCTTTTTCAACATTTGGAATTGTCATACTTCTTAATTTTTGCCAATTGAATTGGTATGAAGGGGTGTCCTCTCATGGTCTGGATTTATGTTTCCCTGATTACTATATAACCTGGGATCATTATCCTGTGGATCAGTTTATCTACCCATGTATTTGTCTGTCTAATTTGTGTCTGGTTTGTTATGTTCCCCTCCTTATTTTCTCTCTCAGAGCATCTTGGCTGTTTTTTTAACCCCTTGCTCTTATATTTAAATTTTAGTCTTTTCAATATGAATACTTACTTCTAAATAACTACATGAGCTACATATTCATGCAGAAGGTAAAACCTCTTCTGAGGTAGCAAGTGTACATTGTGGGATGATCTGGGAGTCCCTGCCTGTTGAGAACAAGGTTTTCCACTTGCAGTTGGTTAGACATAGGCCTCAGTGTAATCTCTCTGGGTGCTCTAATAGCTGTTAGTCCCAAGCGTTTTGTTGAAACCAAATGTTATTAAAACCATGATAGATCTGGATAGGCCGCATCAGCTAGTGGCTGGGGTCAGCTAGCTAGCTGTGATCCCAGCTCCATCTGTATGTCTGCCTATATGTGCACACAGAGGGAGGACTGTTGATGGCCCAGGAACTGTCCAGCCATGCAGGCTGGTTAGTGTCTTTCTAGTAGAGAAAGTTAGCCTGTTATTAATAGTTAGATGTTGGTAGAAGGGGAAGAAGAATTAAAGTGTTTGTCAGTAAGAGAATATCATATACAAAAGCACTGAGACTAAAAATAGCATGGTAAGTATTTTTTTACTCCTAGAGAATTCAGCACATGTTGGGGGATGGTGAGAGATGAGGCAAGAGAGATAGATATAAGGCCAGATTGTGGAGGGCTTTATATGCAATACTAAGAAATTGCTATTTTGTCTTTATTTAGCCCACTATTTTAAATATTGTTCATAAGTATAAGTGAAACATTTTATGGTAGCAATATTTTTCCTAAGTTTATTTTAAAATGTATAAACATTTATGTGTTTTTCATATTATAATATACTTGTAAGAATTCATGGGCATTACCCAAGATCTATAAGAGCAATTGGTAAATGAATAACATATCACTTGATCTATATATCTTGTGTAGGGATTATTTACCAACATTATGTTGATTAAAAATGCTCTATTCCTTGTTAACTGACCTATATTATGTGTTCTATAATTCCAGCATATGTTTGTGATAGTCTGTGTATTAAGATTAAATATTTATACCACAAAAATTATTTCTCAAGATTCTGTGAATACAAGAAAGAAATTTTAAGTGAAAACCTTAGTCTTTTTTCAAATATTTAAATCCAGTAAGCAAAAATCTGGAATATTTCAAAGTAAAGATAGTCTTGGTGACTAAAAAGTCAGGAGATATACTACTCAAGTTGAAACAATGTGCAACTCTAAAAAAATAGCATCAGATAGTTTAAAAACTAAAAGAATATTAAGTGAATATTTTTTATAGTTTGAATTTACTTCCATTGGAAATAATAATGATATATGGTATACATTGTAAAATGAAATGTAATTGGTTTTTTGATGTGAAAACATTGGGAGGAATAGTGATAGTGTTCAAGAAACAGACTGGGGAATGGAAAGAGAGGGGAGGTGAAACTGGAGGTGGAGAACAGTTGAGAGACTGATTCAGTAATCCTTGTGAGAAGTGATGACACCTTGAAGTAATAAGGATAGGGTGTAACAAAGGGGCAGGTTGGATAAACGCTGAAACATTAAGATTTGGCAACTGACTGTATGTGAGTGGTAGAGAGTGCAGAGGGATATGGGAGACTGATTCTTAACTTACAGCCTAGATTTTTTTTCTCTTTGTCCAGCAGAAAATGTTCTGTTGAATGCTTGCTTTAACATGGACACAAATGTGCTTCAAGAAGAATCTGTTCTTTCAGTGACATCTTTTCCTTCAGGGAGAGCTTGCCCTTTCTGTTATTGCTCGCCTGAAAGCATACATCTTTCTTTTCAGTGTTGTTTAATAGGAAGGTCGGCTTTATTCAGTTAGAGCAATCTGGGTCACTCTTACACACATACAAAAGACTGGAGGATCCAGCTTTCCTAGATATATTAAGACGCTTTTCTGTCTACCTTAAGACCCTCTCTGATCAGTGTGACCTAAGGTTAGGCTTTTGAACATTCCTGTCATCTCTTCTTCTGGCTGTGAAATTTATTAACTGATCAAGAACTCTGCTCTCACTATACACCACCTTTTGCTTGAAGATTCTGTCATTTGCTCTATTCCTGTGACTTTGTTCATGCCTGCAACAAAGTAACAAATTTTATTCTGTCAGAGATGTTGCACCCAATTCTGCCATGTCTGTTCACAAACCAAGAAACTGAACAATATCCCCAGTGATTTTTTTTTTAATTACAGATTAATACCTATATATGAATTAACAACATTTCTTTTCGGAGTCACCAAACTAAAAAGGGACTCTAAAATGTAGGCATCCTAATTGTAAGTCCCACCAGGACCAAATGAAATTGGAGAAAGGTAGTTTTCTAAAAGAAGTGCTCCAGGATTATTAGCAGAAGGGGGAAGACATCATAGGTCATGTGCCCCTTCATTCTGTGTATTTATCTTTCTTCAGTTCAGAGAGGTTTTATATATATAAAATATATACATGTATATATTTACATATTGCTTTTTCATATACCTATCTCTATTTTTTTTTTTAGTATTTTAGTAGAATTTCTCAAGCTTATGTTGATATTTCTGATGTCCTATAGTGTCCATTTTACTTTTTTTTGATTCTATACATTTTAAATTCTATCACCTATTTAGTTTTGAAATGTCATTTTCTGTGTCTTTACAGTTCTGTCATCTGCAAATACTCATAACCTTGCTTTTTTCTTTTACAGATTTTCATTTTATTATTAGTTAAATAAAAAATCTCAGTGCAAATTTTAAAGCATGGTCATAGTTTATCTTTTATATTATTAAATTTGCGATAAATATACTTACATTTCTCTTCTTGAATCTAGACGAAATCTAGATGGTATTTCTTGAATGTAAGAGAAGGGCTTAATAATATCATAGAAAATGTATTTTACGTCTTTAAAAAGGCTATTTTAGCCAATATCTGCTTTGAAATGTTAAATAGAAATTTTCAAATAATATTGTGATGGCAATACAGATGAGAAAATTAATCTCCAGTGACCATGAAATTTATTTATTTTAATGTCCAGAAAAAAAGTGTTATGTATAACTCGATATTACTTAAGTCCATTAGATTAAAAGGTTGATGAAGCCCTCCCAAGGAGGGCTTCTGGGTCATGTAGAAACTCACCCTGTTTTGTGCTGTTCTTGCTGTATTACGATAGTGGGGCTTAAAGTCATGCTGTGCTCTCATCACTTCATGGGCCATACCCTTTAGCTTACCCTTACTTGTGCCACTCAGATCCCTCTGCTGCGGTTGAGTGCTTATGCACATGTGTATCGTCTATAACTCAAGTTTTCTTGTTCTAAACAGCCGGCGTCCACCATGTTGTACCCTGACTCCCCATTGTCTGTCTCCTCTCTTAAGCAGTTTCAGTAATAAAGAATATCCATCCTCATCTTCTCCTGGGATTCCTAGTCCCTTTTCCATTCAGACTCTTGACTGCTTTCAGGATCCTGCAGTATAAATGGAGTATGAACAGGGAGAACTTGGTCTCATTTCTTTTCTTTGTCTTTTCTCTCAGAGGGTAGTCTTGTTTGGTCAAAGCATTGTGAGCTCATGTCTTAGGCTCACAGTTTCTATTTTGTAGCTAGTACGTATATTTCTCTTCACCTTCATGGGAACCTGGCTCAGTGCTGAGCAGTTCAGTTCAGTTCAGTCACTCAGCTGTGTCTGATTCTTTGTGACCCCATGATCTGCAGCACACCAGGCCTCCCTGTCCATCACCAACTCTTGGAGTTTATTCAAACTCATGTCCATTGAGTCGGTGATGCCATCCAACTATGTCATCCTCTGTTGTCCTCTTCTCCTCCCGCCTTCAATCTTTCCCAGCATCAGGGTCTTTTCCAATGAGTCAGCTCTTCACATCAGGTAGCCAAAGTATTGGAGTTTCAGCTTCAACATCAGTCCTTCCAATGAACACCCAGGACTAATCTCCTTTAGGATAGACTGGTTGGATCGCTTTGCAGTCCAAGGGACTCTCAAGAGTCTTCTCCAACACCACAGTTCAAAAGCATCAATTCTTCAGTGCTCAGATTTCTTCATAGTCCAACTCTCACATCCCCACTGGAAAAACCATAGCCTTGACTAGGCAGACCTTTGTTGGCAAAGTATTGTCTCTGTGCTTTAATATGCTGTCTAGGTTGGTCATAACTTTTCTTCCAAGGAGCAAGCGTCTTTTAATTTCATGGCTGCAATCACCATCTGCAGTGATTTTGGAGCCCAAGGAAATTAAGTCTGCCACTGTTTCCACTGTTTCTCCATCTATTTGCCATGAAGTGATGGGACCAGATGCCATGATCTTAGTTTTCTGAATGTTGAGTTTTAAGCCAACCTTTTCACTCTCCTCTTTCACTTTTATCAAGAGGTTCTTTAGTTCTTCTTCACTTTCTACCATAAGGGTGGTGTCATCTGCATATCTGAGGCTATTGATATTTCTCCTGGCAGTCTTGATTCCAGCTTGTGCTTCATCCAGCCCAGCATTTCTCATGATCTACTCTGCATATAACTTAAATAAGCAGGGTGACAATATACAGCCTCGACGTATTCCTTTTCCTATTTGGAACCAGTCTGTTGTTCCATGTCCAGTTCTAACTGTTGCTTGGAGATGCCCAAACAAGTACTTATTGATTATTTGGTAAAATATACTTCAAATAATTACCATGGTCAAATTACCAGATGTGTTCCTTTAGTTAATTTTCACAAATTAAGTAACTTCATAATACTATAGCAGAGGAAACAGGAAATAGATTTTGAAATGTCTTCATATAAATATGTTTGTTGCTGAATCCAATGACTGGATCTTTTATTTTTATAGCATGCACCTTTGATATTTATGCCTGCTAATCATCCCTGCCTCATTTTTTAACAGATTACCAAAATTGAAAATGTCAATCATTTGTGTGATTTGAGAGTTTTAAATCTTGCCAGGAACTTTTTAAGTCACGTTGATAATCTTAATGGGCTGGATTCACTAACTGAGCTTAACCTGCGACACAATCAAATTACTTTTGTGGTGAGTATTAAAATGGAATCAATATGTGATTTCTGGCCTTTATTTTAAGGCAATGAAATAAATGTTATAGCATTGCTTTCTGTAAAGTAAGAATCTAAGGTAATTTAGTTTTTTTCTGAATTTAAATTGTGGATATAATTGTTAAGCTTTATAATATTATGGTTTGGGAAATGGTATGTTATTTTCCATTCTAAAAGATAAATGTAAAATTAGGAGCAGAAGTGTATCAGTAAGTGAATCAGCTAGGGATAAATGAATTTTGAATCCTTTGCTGTGTACAAATAGAATTGATAAGAAAGACGGTTATTGATGACTGAAAGTTGGCAAATTGTTGCACAGAGAGGAAAAAGACACAGAGAGGAGAGATTGAGGACTTTGAAGACATACATAAATACCATATTCTTTGCAGTTTTTCAAGGGCAGCTTTGTATGGAGGAAAGAGCACTGTTGCATAGGACATCAGAGGCCTAGCGCCGATCTGCTTTATCTCTCATTAATTGTGTAGTAGTGTAGTGTTAGTTGCTCAGCTGTGTCCACCTCTTTGCTACCCCACGTCCTGTAGACTGCCAGGCTCCTCTGTCCATTGGATTCTCCAGGCAAGAATACTGGAGTGGATTGCCAATCCCTTTTCCAGAGGATCTTCCTGACCCAGGAATTGAACTTGGGTCTCCTGTATTGCAGGCAGATTCTTTACCATCTGAGTTATAGGGGAGATCCCATAACTGTGTGACCTTGGGTAAGTCACTCACCTGTGAGCTTCAGTTTACTTTTCTCCAAAATGAGGACATTGGGCTGGATCATCTCTGGAGTCCTTTTTGGTTTGCTGACTCTGAAAAAAAGATATCAATATGATAGAAAGCTGGCGTGTGAGCAGGAGGAAGAGAGCTGGCATCATAAGGCTGCTCTGAAACTCTGAGGATGAGCTTCATTAGATTTATAGTTTTACTTATGTTTAGCAGCTAAATAACTGCTTAATGCTCAGATATGTTGAACTTGCATATGTGAAGAGCTCTAGAAATAAGACTTTCAGTTATATGACATGATATAGGCCAAGAATACATCTAAGGCTTTATAAAAACACTATTTGTTTTTTAACAAGTTTCCTTTATTTATATGCACCAGAGAAACTGCATTAGGTTTTCTCTGGATATCACTTAAGCACTCTTAAAGGCACAATCTGATGCTTAACTTTTTCAAGACACTGAGTTCCTTTGTTGGTTGGTTTAGTCGCTAAGTTGTGTCTGACTTTTGCAACCCCATGGACTGTAGCCTGCCAGTCTCCTCTGTCCATGGTATTATCCAGGCAAGAATACTAGAGTGGGTTGCCATTTCCTTCTCCAGGGAATCTTCCTAACCCAGGGATCAATCCCAGATCTCCTGCATTGCAGGCAGATCCTTTACCAACTGAGCTATGAGGGAAGCCCATTAGTAAGTAAGTAAGCCCATCGAGTTCCTTAGTAAATAATTACATATACTTAAGTGGTACACATGAAAAAGTTGGAGGACAGTTGATACCTTATCTCTAGGCCTCACTGTACAGATCGGTTTCATTTTGAAGTTTCCCCAGGAAATCTGAGCCAAGTAATGCTTACATTTTCTAGGAGGTTAGGATAACTTCAAAACTTTTTCTAAGACCTGGATTTATCCTGAAACCTTTAAATTCTGCCAGCCTTTCCCCATATTGGATTTAAATATTGGAAATGGCTTGTTTATTTTAAGAGACATCTGTATTGAGTTAATCAGTTACATTGCTGTCTCGAGGAACTGTTCAGGCTGGACTTAATACGTCCTCAGGACATTGAGTATGATAAGAATCCAAACACTTCGGTAGAGTGGGGTACAGAAATCTGTTGGCCTTAGCATATGCCTGTCTACAATTTGTCCTTCATTTGGAAAATGTGTAATACACATCCAGGAAATTGGTTAATGAATTTCCCACTGAGTACCTAATCATTACTGTTATAGATTAGGCAGCAGTAAGCATCTTATGGAAAAGGAAATTGTTTTAATTTCTAAAAGTGAAAAAGATTTTTAAGTATTATGTATATGGTATAAGTATCATATATATTAATTTATTGGATACTGTGAGTGTATGTGTAAGAATAAATAAACTTTTCCAACTCTGTTTCTTTTCTGAAGCATCCTTTTCCTGAAGACCCAAGAGACTTTAAATCTCAGGATTCCTTTTTTTCTCCCCTCTCTCTTTCCTGGTGGCTCAGAGCTTAAGCGTCTGCTTGCAATGTAGGAGACCCAGTTCGATCCCTGGGTTGGGAAGATCCCCTGGAGAAGGAAATGGCAACCCACTCCAGTACTCTTGCCTGAAGAATGCCATGGAGGGAGGAGCCTGGTGGGCTACAGTCCATGGGGTCGCAAAGTCGGACACCACTGAGTGATTTCACTTTCACTTTCTTTTAAAACTACCTCTTCTTTTCTCCAGGGTCAGTTATCACATTATCACATTATTCTTTTTGCTATTTTTTCTCATGGTTTTTATTTTCCTCATTGACTGGTAATTCTTAAATGAAGGACCATGTTAAGGCATGGCTGACTCTCCTGTAGAGCTGAATAGGTCTTTTTAGCCATAAGTCTCTCCGTAGAATGATCACTAGATTTGTGTAAGTTGCTGAATCCCACACATTGGCAGACTTCCCCTTAGAGTGAGTGGACGACAGGCAGGCTCACTGTGTAACTATCAAAATAATAAAAACTACTTTGTGAGGGCAGGGAGGAGGAATAAGAAAGACCTCAGTTATCTTTTGTGCCAGCTGAAATTGCTGTTCCTCTTCGCCTTCTGGTTCTGCTGTGGCAGTTATTAACCATCTCCATGGATAAAACACCCATGCTCTCCATCCTTCCTTGAGTCTCTGTTTTGTTAGAAGCAGATCCTGAGGCTCTAGCTGAGGATTTCTTCAGCCAGCTGCCTGTACATGGTTGCGTGTGTGCATGGCAGGAGTGGGAGTGGGCTGGGGGGACAGTGGGTTTGTTGGTGTTCCAGGAAAAGCTGTTTAGTAGAACATCTTTAACTATACATGTACTTGATTAGCCATAGCTATTCATAGTGCATGCCTGTGTTTTGTTTGTGCTGACTCTGAGAGTGGAAGTTGGCATTCTCATGGAGAGAATTGCCTCGTTTGCAGTGCACCATCTCTCCCGCCCGTTCCGAGCTGCAGTTTTCTTTGTTCACGGTTATCTCCAATAACATCCATCTGCTTTTCAGCTTCCTGAAATCTCATCAAAAGTGTTGCTCTATTAATAACTTTTGTTTTTAACGTTTTCTGTGGAATTGCTCATTTGTTTGTTTCACCCGTTGAATCTTGGGAAGGAGATGAAACAAATGCATCACCTACTTTACCATCTTATCAGAAACTGTCCTCACTGATAATGTCAGTATAGAAAAGAGCTTAATACAATAAAAAATCAATGACTATTTAACACAGTATAGTTGTATTCAATTCTCTTTTTCTTGGAAATTTTATAAGTTTCTAAACAAATGTCTTTTTAGTTTGTATATCTTTCCCTTTAAAAGAATTATGAAACATTTCAAACATTCCCAAAGAATAGGAAATAATATTACCAACGTTTGTGTGTCAACCAATGAATTTAAATAAAAGCCTTTTAAATATAGTTGAGACCTACTCTGTAGCCCTCCCCCAGCACATTCGCTCTCTCCTTTGCAGACATAACCACAATTATGAGTTTGGTGTTTATTTCTATGCATGTCTGTTTCTGTTTCCTGTATATATTCCCAAACCATCCCATATATATCCCTAAACAATGAAGTAATTATTTTGCATGCTTTTAAGTCTTCTGTAATTGGTTTTATCAAACAGTACATATCTTCTGTAAGTTACTTTTATTATGCTTTGAGATTTATATGTGTTGATACGTATAGCTCCAGTTCACTAATTTTCATTGTTATACAGTATCCCACTGTATGATTATGATTAAATATTTATTTATTCTGCTTTTGGATAATATTTCTAATTTCTATTTTTTTTTCTTTTTTTTCCCCCATTTATTTTTATTAGTTGGAGGCTAATTACTTTACAATATTGTAGTGGTTTTTTTCATACAGTGACATGAATCAGCCATGGATTTACATGTATTCCCCATCCCGATCCCCCCTCCCACCTCCCTCTCTACCCGATCCCTCTGGGTCTTCCCAGTGCACCAGGCCCGAGCACTTGTCTCATGCATCCAACCTGGGCTGGTGATCTGTTTCACCCTAGATAATATACATGTTTTGATGCTGTTCTCTCGAAACATCCCACCCTCGCCTTCTCCCACAGAATCCAATTTCTATTGTTGAAAATAATGTTTTTGTATGTATCTTTTTGTGCATAATTATAACAATTTCCCTTGGACAGTGGCTTTCAGACATTTTTAGCCATAATCTATGTTAATAAATAAAATTTACATTGTGCATACATACTCAGTCGTATCTGACTCTTTGTGACCCCATGGACTGTAGCCCACCAGGCTCCTCTGTCCATGGCATTTCCCAGGCAAGAATACTGGAGTGGGTTGCCATTTTCTTCTCCAGGGGATCTTCCCAATCCAGGGATAGAACCCATGTCTCCTGTGTCTCCTACATTGCAAGAGAATTCTTTACCACTGAGCCACCTGTGAAATACCTGAATTGATTTCTTGACTAATGAAAAACTGGCTGTAATCTGCCTTTGAAAAATAATGCTAAATGGTGACTTGGGAGAGCATTGCTTGGTGCCAGGACTATGCACATCATTTCACTCTATTAGTTATTGCCGTATTTTCCCCAAAGTGGTTGTACAAAATTACATTTCCATCAGCATTCCCTGAGAGTTTCTTTAACTTCACAATTTTATTGACACTTGATGTTGTCAGATGTTGACCTTCTAATTTTTGCCAGTCTTGTAACTATGAAATTGTATTATTTTGAGATTTGAGATTTTGAATTTTTTTTTGAATAATTTTTTTCAAATTATTATTTGAGATTTGAATTTGAATTTCTAGTGGGATTA